TGCTTGGGGACCAAGCCCTCAACACACAAGCCTATGCAACATGTTGTATACAAATCATAACATCAGGTATAGAGTCTCGTTACTACTGAGTAAAAACTGTTACTGAAAGAAAGGTTCTGTCATACAGGACTATCACTTGTGCTCAGGCACCAGCACTGTGAACTTCTCATTTCAGATCTGCAGTAGCCGAGGGACCTGATTGAGACATCAAACCTCCTTTGGGATTTATTTTCATCCTCTAATATTAGAAAGTTGGACAACGTCATCTCGAGCTCGAATGGCCTGTGGCCCTTTGTGAGTTCACTTATGAAGAACAGAGGAAATAGGTACAAAAGGAAACACTTCTAGAAAGGGAAATTTTAAATATCATGTGGAAGAACTTAGTTTTTGTGTTTTTTTCGAGAGTCAGAGGAGTTGATATTTAAGAAAAATAATCCAAAACTCCATTTCATAACAGCAAACTTAATTAAGATGTCACGTAAAGCCTTTCTTGTTGTTTGTCAATGGAATGTATATGTGAAGAAAATACAGTAATAGCTATTGCTTAGCTTTTATTTCCATTTCAATAAAAATAGTCCTGGGATTTCAATGTGAAACTGACAGAAACTACTTACTCAGACCTATATTTGAGGCAGTGACTTCTTGAGCATCCTGCTTGCCACTGAGAGGTTGTTTGTCATTGACTTACTTCTGTCATGTGAGCTTTGGAAACCATCTTAAACCTCTCTCACTCTGTCTCTGCATTGTCCTTCATTAAGCATTTATGCTGCCTTACTCAGACCAATATTTTCCTTCTTAACTGTTCCCTCTGCTTACTCTCAGCCTCCTATAATACTGCTGATCACTCTGTAAAAAGTAAATGTGAGTCTAAGATGCGTGATCATAGCCTACAGTCCCCCTTTACCTGTAGCAGCTGTGAAGACCTCTGTTCCTTGTGTAACCCTTACCCTGCCACAGGGCCCCAGAGTACATCCTGCATCCTGCTGTCTGTCCTGTGCAGAATGCCAAGTAATAGTTCACACCTCATGGATTGTTAGAAGGATTAGCAAGTTATTGTGAATCCATTGCTTAGAATATAACAATATTCAATGTGGATTATAAACAAAATCCTAAGATTGTTCATTGTGTGTACTCTTCATACAAGTTAAAATCTTCAGTTTGTTCACATCTTATGAAATGTCTTGTGTTAAATGTGCACCAGATGTGGATTGTGATTTTATTACAAAGCCATTGATCAAGATGACTTTGTTTTCCATGATTATATATTTAAGTGTAACCTTGCCTATCATAAAATATTCTGACTCAGCCCCTTTGTTGTCTGTCTTCTAGAGTGCAGACTTCCTGGGTCATGAATTTTCCAGTTCAGGTGAATAAAAATGACTTTACTATAGGGTTGTCCTTGAATCTGCAGTAATTGCTTGCAAAGTCATTTGTTCGTTGGTTTTCTTATTGACAACCCATTCTCTTTGACATTCTTCTACTGAATCATGTGAATTTGTTGAGAACTTCTAGAGCATTTGGGTTCTTAGACTATTAACTGAAAATCATTTTATCCCTCATATAATTACATTTTAGCACCACACCCTATTACATTGCACCATACACACTCTTCTCTATTTGGAATTCTGGTCCTCTTTACTGTGTCTGGAAAAATCTTGTGCACATCTTATCTCCTCCGTGGGAGGCTTTCTTGACTCTTGCTCCTCCCTCCCTTTTGTACCCTTCATACCTTCCTATCCCTCCCCAACACACACACACCACAATACAGACACTACACAGACCGTGTGTGCTCACCAGTGTTTGCAAAGCACATCACTTACAACCCTGGTACTTAATGCACAGCTTGTGTCCAGCTCGCAAGATTATGAAGTCCCTGGGAATGCGTCTTTCTGTGACTTACCCTCAAGTCTAGGACTAAGCAGGATATAATCTTAGCCCTCAGCCGTGGACTCAGAGCTTCATAAACAGTGAGGTTAGGATAGGAGGGTGAGATTCTCTTCTGAGCCTCTTTATTCCTATTTTCTACCACTGCAGGCAGTGATCTTCCACTTAATGGGTGGTATTCGGTGGTCATGGTGGAGGAGATGGTATTCATACTTAAAAAAAGTAGTTTGTGGAGTTGGAGTAGTGGCTCAGCTGTAAGAGCACCTGCCTAGCAAGTGTGAAGCCCTGAGTTCAAACCCCAGTGCTGCCAAAAAAAAAAAAAAATAGAAGATGGTTTATGTACTTTGAAGAGGTATGTTTCAGAATCATTTTGCCTTTTGTTTTAGCCATAACATTTTATTTATTTTGAAATTTCAAATGGCATTAAAAGGAACAGCAAGAGATTTTTGCCAAAAAGGAAAATGTAGCTGGCAGAGTGGCTCAATTGGTAGAGCACCTGCCTAGTAAGCATCAGGTCCTGAGTTCAAACCCCAGTGCTGTCAAAAAAGGAAAATACTGATTTTATTTTTTAAAATCTATTCCTGTGGGCAGAGTCTATGATTGTTGCTTATTTCTTTTGAGGCACGTTTTTTTCATATAGCCAAGAGCCATATAAGTAGGTTCAGAATGAGTGTGGGAAGAGCAAGTGGCAGAGATTTTCACAAGGATGTGATGTTTTTTTTATGTACAGTGTTACTGCAGTATTACCTATTTTGTAATTTTCTCAATAAAATTTAACAGATGTTAAAGACTTATGTTAAATCTTTTATGTAGACATATAGCCTGACAAATCAAGCAGTGAGTTTGAACCTAGAAAGCTGAGTGACAGAGTGGCATTAGTTTTCTTTTTTTCTTTTTTTTTTTTTTTTTTTTGATGGTATTAAAGTTTGAACTCAGGATCTCACACTTGCTAGTGAGGCACTCTGCCACTTGAGCCATTCTGCCAGCCCTTTTTATGTGTTGGATATTTTCGAGATAAGGTCTCACCAACTATTTCCCTGGGGTTGGCTTCGAACCTCAAGCCTCTTGATCTCTGCCTCCTGAGTAGCTAGGATTATAGGCATGAGCCACTGGCACCTGGCTGTCAGTTTTCTATAGATTACTGGTAGTGTTGCTGCTGCCTACCTGTGAGAATGGAGGTGAAGAAGCACCAAGGCCGTGTGCATAGGCAGGCCCCCACCAGCACCTGGAGAAGCATCTGAAATCTTGTACAACAAGGTCTCCTGGAAACAGGCTGGTAAACACCACTTCTTTCCTTTTTTTACAGTTTTAAAAATTGAAATATCTGTAGATTGCAGCTACTTGTTCGTCTTCGTCTTCAGTGTGATCTGTCCTGTTACCAGCTCTGGTAGCCTAGTTACAATGCCAGTGCAGCATGAGAGAATTGCTTCTTACCTGTCGGCTTCATGCGACCCTTTTGACGTGGGAAAGAAAGACCATTAGACTTGGGTTGCTATTGTTCATGTGTAAGTTCATGAGGAAGGCAACCACATTTTCTCCTTCCTGGTGCCTTGTGCCCTTTTGTGGACAGACCAGTCTTCTGGGAACATCAGGTCCTCGAGGTTTCTGCTGTCAGTGCTCCACCAGCTGGCAAGGAAAGACTTTTCAGAGACAGGAGAGTCATCAACATTGATCACTACTCAGTCTGAAGCATTTCATGTAAATCAGGAACACAGAAGCAAAACCAGATACTACACTGACAACAATCTGGGGGACTGATTGCCTAGTGTGGAGGGAAGATTTTACAACCTGGTTTGTGGCACATGACTTAGTAGGCTAACATTGTGCTTTTGTTGTTGTTCGTGATGACGCTGAATTGTTGAAAAAAGCCATTAGAGTCCACATGTTCAGATTAAGAAATCTGCCACATAATATATCTGATATATTCTTGTCAAAAGTTAATAAAAGTCATGCTTTTTTTTAAAGATGTATTATGCGTTTGCTAGTATTGCCATAACAAAGTACTACAATTTTGATGATTTAAACAACAGATATTTATGCTCTCAGTTTCGGAGGCTGGAGGTCTGGCATCAGCAGGCTTAGTTTCTCCTGAAGCCTTTCTACTAGGCCTGTAGGTGGCCACCATCTCCTTGTGCCTTCCCATGGTCTTTCCTCCATGTGTCTGTCCTATTCTCTTAGAAGGAGAGCCAGTCCTACTGGATTAGGGTCCATCCTAATAACCTCGTTGTAACCAAAACCACCTCTTTAAAGATTCTATCTCCTGGTAGTTATAACTTTAGCATGTGAATTTGGTTGGGGGCACAATTCAGCCTGTAATAATGTGAATTTTAAGGGGTACATGTGAATAAGGCAGCTTAGTGACTAAAGATACACGGAGTGTTGTGGTGAGACCTTATATACCATACCACATTTGCATGTCAGATACGGAAAGTCACTGATGTTAGAGTAGCTAAGGATGACAGCCCGGGTGTGTCTACTTAAAGCCACCAAAAGACTCCACCCTCCTCCTCAACAGTGCTAACTGTAATGCACAAAAATGTGTAATGCTACAAAAAGAATAGAAAGGATATGACAGGAACACAAGAAAGAGGGAGAAGATTTTAAAAAAATTAGTAACTAATTCTGGAGTTAATCAGAAAAGTACAGCAACTTTCAGTGCACATGAAACTGTTAAAGTTAGTAATCTGTTTACATATTTATAGCATAACAGTATTTTAATTGTATATATTCTATTCTTTTCATCAGTGAAGCATTCTGGTAAACAAGAAATAGTAGAATAAAGTTAGAGGTGCAAAGTTTTGACTGAAAGGTTTCCTATAATATCTTTAAAGTTTGAGGAAGTACCCAGGAAGACACATTAGTTTGATCACAGCTATGGCCAAGGGTAATTGACTTCTGTAGCTAGTGAACCAAAGACTCTGGCAGAAGTACAAACTGGCACTTTGAAAAAAAGACCATCATTAAAGTGTGGCTCATAGGCACACATTAAATGTTATTCCCTAAGCTAAGTAACTAGAAATTAATTTACCATAAAGTTTAAAATTTCCTGAGGGTTTGAATTTTATCTACAATTATTTAAAGAATATTTCACTTTTTTTTTTCCTTTTAAAACGCAGCTCATGTTTTTTGGGATCTTCCTGTGCCTGGACGCATTTCTGTATGTGTTTACCCTGCTCCCGTTAAGAGTTTTCCTGGCACTGTTCAGGCTTCTCACTCTGCCTTGCTATGGCTTAAGGTAAGTTCAAGATCATTAATTGCTCTTGATGTCTACTTGTACAGTTTTTTAGACAATTCATACAGTTTTATTCACACTCTGGCCCTTAATGTATAAGTTAATTCTTTTTATCTTTTCAGTGGGCATTATATAATATTTTTATGTAAATGTTATACATTTTATATGCACTTTTTTCCAGAATGGTTGTGAACCAAAACTTTGCTTCAGTCAGTACACTTGCATTGATGTAGAAGGCTGTGTGCAGAGTAGAAAGGGCCCAGGACTGAGACTCAAAGATGACCGTGTTTCTAATTCCCCTGTAACTTTCTTTTCCTAAAGTGCTGGGCTTCCAGTATCATCTGTGAAAGACCTGGATTCTAGGCTAGGGAGTCAGTAGCATCAGAATCTTCTAAAGAGTTCTTACAGTAGGCTTCCTCCTCCCATTCTTTTAAGAATCACTGTGTTAGTGGCCTGTGGAGCCCGAGTAAGAGACTACAGGTGTGACTTCTTTTGATTGTGACAGCGGGAAACCCTTTAAGGGCTATTGTCCTAATGAGAAAGGCTCAGACAGCCTGACCCAGTATCGACCAGCTAGTGAGCTGTGCCAGTCACCTGGCCTCTCTAAGCCTGTTTCCCGTGAGTAAATAGTGGGTATTAAGAGCTCAACATCTTTACCACAAAGATTGTGTCCAGTTCATAGTGGACCAGAACAAATACCAGTTTCTTCCTCTTTCTTCTTTACTAAAATATTAAGGTGAAAATGTTAAGCTATGTGAAACTTCCTGTTTACTGGTCTTAAAGTTTGGAAGGAAGTTTGGATGTTACAGTTTTCTTATACAGTTATGTCAACATGCCTCCTCTCTGTGTAACATCGCTAATTAGTTTTCATTGTAGTTGTCTGAGTTACATTTCTGATGTGTCACTTTTCTAAATACATTTCATACTGAAAAAGTTTTAAAGTGCTAAACAGACAATAATTTGTTAAACTTCCCTTAACTGTAGTGACTATTCCATGGGATATAAAATAATCTAGAGATGGATATTGAGTTACAAAATATTGGTCTACAGACAGAATTATATGTTTTATTTAAAAGACTGAAATCATAGAATAGTCTGTTTTAAAGTACAACATGAGCATATGCTTAATATTTCGTATACATATAGTCCCTGTAAAAACAAGCCCTAATCCATTTGAATAAGGAAGAAACCCTTCCGATGTAAATAGGAACAATTCAGTGGTTGTGATGACCATGTTGTGAAAAGAATAAAGATTAATCTTTGCAAGATTGCAGGGAATAAAACAGTTATAGGAACTCAGCTTGTATTGTTACATATGATATTTTACATTCTGCAATGTTTCTCAGCTTTCAGAATGACACTAATTATGTTACATATTTTATTAATCACAAGTTAATCAAATATGAATTATTTGGAGGAATTTATTCACCCAGGTTTAAGGTATTTCAGGTATATCCTTTGTAACTTGAGAATTTTTGAGAAGGCCTTGTTCTTATTAGTTAATGTTTTTAAAGATATTTGTAGCATGGCACTGTAATACTGACAAAGCCTCACCTCATTATGCTGTTTTCTTTATTGCTATTGGGAGCTCAGTAGAAATCATAGCCTTTTATTTACCTTTTCAGAAGACCAAAACAAAATCTAGTAAAACATTAGTAAATATAAATGTTCACATGTGATTGCATAAAGAGGATGGGTACAGGGAAATTTAGGTAAGTCAGGTGCACCACCTGGTATGAAATATACAGAGCTCACCTCAACCTTATGAGCTACATTACTTCTCGGTAGTTGTTGCATTGGCAATGTTAGACAAGTTGATATTCTAGTCATGTCTGTGTGAATAGCTTCAAGACGTAGCATGTTCTGTGCTGCTGGTGTGCTGAGATAAAGCATTAACAGGTCTACAACCTGCAGACTGCTCCTTCGGGAGTGGTTACTTCCTTGGGTATGATTGGCACACAGATGACATATACTGCATGACAGTGACTTGTCACTGTCTTCCAAAAGTCTCTTGGAAGGGGGGTCTTATTTGAAGACACATCTTGTTCAGATATCTAGTACTAATCTATGGCACTTAAGGTCAGTTCTATAATTCTCTGTGTCCCCTGTCACCTGGGGGAAACAGGGCTCCTGAGTACAAGAGACTTGTCAGTGTTTACTTTGAATATTAAGTGGTAATGCAGAGAATAGGAAATCTTTTTTTTGGTGGGACTAGGGTTTGATCTTGGGGCTTTGCACTTGCAAAGCAGGCACTCTACCACTTGAGCCACACCTCCAATCCATTTTGCTCTGATTATTTTGGAGATGGGTCTCATGAACTATTTGCCCAGGCTGGCTTTGAACCATGATCCTCCATATCTCAGCCTCTCAAGTAGCTAGGATTATAGGCATGAGCCACTGGGGCCCCGTTGAGAACTAGGAAATTTTAAATTCTCTATTCCCATTTGATTTCGTGTTAGTGATTGCTATCGTCTATATCCAACCTTTTTCTAATATGTTAAGTTTGTTTAGCACAGAAAAAAATGATTGCTTTTCTCTTTTAGTTGAAAGTCCTTTCCTGTCTGTTTTCAGGGTTTTATAGTTAGAAGTACACTAGAGGGCAGCCTGTTACATACTATTGAGGCCACCATTCCTGTAATTTAGATTAACTGAAAAGTTGCATTTCATTCTGTCACTAGTAGATATTTACATGGTCCATACCAAACATGAAATCCAGCAGACTTGCACACACTATGTGAGGGTAGGCCAGATTTCATAGAATACGAGCATTGGAAATGAATACGAAACACTAGAATATGAAAATACTGCTTAATGTCTTAATGCCTTTAACATGCTGTATCAAAATTAAGCAATTTGTGCTTATAGTAATACGAGTCATAATGGTTATTTTCTTTGAGTAATTAAGAAGTATTATGTCTTTTTGAGTATTATTTTTAAAGGCACAGAATTTAAAATACATGATAGTGTAAAAAGTTATATTAACAAAATTATTCTTAATATTAAGTCTAAGACTTTTCAAATATTTTAGGAATATAAAAATGCATTTTATTTTTACAAAATGATTATTTAGAAATAGCCAGATTCTACCGTCTTATAGCTTTCCTTCCTTCCTTGTAGATTATTTGATTGTCTATATCATGTTCATCTTTTTCAGCAAGCAAAAAGTGCTCTTTTCTTTAGTCTGACATTTTTCTTTAAGAGAAATTAAGAGATCAGCAAAGAAATTAATGGTATACTTTTTTCCAGCTGTTTTCTTTCTCACTTTCCTATATGTTCTTCTGAACATAAAAATTTACTATCTTCCTAATTTCTTAGTTCTCCAAAATTTTTCCAAAAAGAGAGGAAAAGTGTATCTGTCAAATTAATCAAATGCTGACATGAAAACAGTAACTATTTGCAGTCTCTAGTACTGTTTGTTTCAGTGTTGCATCAGTAATGGAGTGACAGCATTGCTGTCTCTTCATGTTTCAATGAGTGTGTTTGTCTCCTTTGCTTGCAGAGTTCTATGTGGTATAGCATTTGTGAAAAGCCTCTTAAAGCTTATAGAAACAACACACCCTCCTCCCCCCGCCCTGCACCCCCAGGATTTTCTGCTTTAGAATTCAGTCTTTGAACCTATTTCTGGATCTTTTGCAAACTTGACATGGCTTTTGGTTTTTTGGCTGGTATTAACAGCTGAGTGAACAAAGACTCTGCCTTTCACTGGTGGTGAGAACCCGAAGATTCAGTAACCTTATAAGTAAGCCCCTGCCTTTGTCACAGTTGCTCAGTCAGTGGGACATTTTGCCAACTTTTGATCCTGCTAAAGCTTTGTTCATTTTGAGATGTTGACAGAGTAATTATTCTTGAGTCCATAGTGGTATATGTTGTCTGCAAAGGATGCACTGCTTCTTTAAAAAAAAAAAATTGCATATATTCTCGGTGACCTCAAAAATACTTACTTGAATCTGCTTCTGATGAATTAACCATCTTGAAAAATCTTTGCCCCCCCCCCTACAATATTTTGTGGTAAACTAAGAGAAAAAGATGGAAGGAGGGGAGAGAGGGAGGGAGGGAGGAAGGGAAGAAAGGAAGGAAGGAAGGATCTAGAGTCTTTAAAAGCAGATTCATTTATGTATTTCTTCCCTTTCCTAGATGGGGTAGTGTCATTTCAGAAAAAAAATTTGAGAACTATCTTAAATTGGGATAATCTTTTTAACGATAGAGGACAGAAAACAGAATTAAGTTGTGATTCTCTGTAAGAGGCATCTGTGTTTCTAGGAAGAATTATAGGATTTTGATATTGCAGAAAAGTCGATTGTATTATGCTAGTGAGGTATCAAACATCATTTTTTAAATTTACTTGTGGAACAAGTAAAACGTAGCCAATTATGTGAGTTTTTTAAATTTACATGGCATTTTTATAAACCGATCTTCCTCCTAAAATTTGTGATGTTATTTGCTTTAGAATTCTCATTCATATTTGAATTAAAAGTTGAAGAAGATTATAGAGAAAAAATGAAAATCTAGCATTAAGAGCTCATGTTATTGTTGAAAAAATCTTCACTAAAACATTTTAGGCAGTGCTCAGTGAGTTGAGTAGGTTTTTTCTTTGAACTGTTAAAGCAAATAAAATACATACAAGCAAATTTTCTGATCCCTCACTTTGCTTTTGCTCTCATTTTAAGGCTTCCTTGGCTTTTTTTGTGTGTTTTAAAAGGCAAGAGTATCTTTTTCTTTTGAGAGTTGACCCCCTAGAAAAGTTCTTATCTTCCAGAAGAACTATGAATTCCAAATTCTTGAGAGTTTCTTAACCTATTGGGTTTATTCCGTGTGCCTTTCCTCTTTCAAGATAGTTCTGCTCAAAATTAACTTCTCATATGCATTTTAAATAGGGTTTGTCTTTCCAGGCAAAATTAAGCCTTGATTCTGGCCTAAGTGACTAATGCCACCATGAGAGCACATGTAGGTAGGGAGAGCTCTTGGTATCTTTCTCTGGGAAAACAAGTATGTCCATTATTTCCTCTTACCAGGCTGCTCTGTGTGGCTTATTGGTGGAGAGCAGGGTGTTTGTCTTATTAGAAACATCAGGTTTTGTTGTCCCATGTTTCCTCACCATGACGCTCTAAGTAGCGTAGCAACATTACAACCTTCTCTCTTTCTCTCTCTCTTGTAAATCAGACCGAAGGGAGGAGCACTTTCACTTCTTTATAGAATGGAATGTGGTGGCACAGGGACTCCTTGTGGTGAGTAAACCCTGATTTTTCCTTCTCTACTCTTGGCCAAATTGACATCAGTATGAATGAGTATCAATTACAATGCAGAAGTAACAGCACAGGCAGACACCATTTGGGGACAGAACCATACTGAAGAAAATGTGGTTCCCTGTCCTTAAATAGCATCCTTACTTGTTCTTAATGCTTTGTCCATGTGTGTCTATGAAGGATTTGACCACAGTTTCACCAGTAAAATGAACTTTAATTACACAAGGGTCTCAACTTGACAGCAAACACTTGGTTCCTGACACCATGGCGATTAGCTGAGTGTGGTCGCTCTTCTATAAGCACCTTTTAGTTTGCATTATTCCAAATACTGAACACAGTTTTATCAAACCATTACTTCTTTCTAATACAGTATCAATTATTTATAGTCCAAGGAGAGATTTTAAACATTCAATTGAAGTACTAAGTAACTACTTTTCTACTATGTGTCAGTCAAACTTAAAACTGAAAATACTTAGGTTCCCAGTTAAGAAAACCATCTTGATCTTGCTGCTTTATTCCAACTTACTTTAAAATTACAATGGAACTTCTCTTTCAAAACTGTGAGCCATATTGAATATTTTACGTTTTTTTTAATTTCAGTTGTGCTGTATTTCTTCACTCTTCCAATTATACCACAAAAATTTTCATATGCTAATAGAATTAGAGAGAAATCCAGTCTATCTATTTTCTAATGAAATAACTCAATTCTGAGCCCCTGGCATGTTCGACATCTATTTGAAACTAATTATGCAGATATTTCTGTTGTTTCCTCTTCCTTCCTGATCCTTCCATGTGGTACCACTTGTACTTTAATAGTTGACTACTAAAGAGGGGAAGGGAAAAAGCCTACCTGTGGTCACCTTTCTTTTTATGTAATTCTGGTCCCATAAATCTATGACCCTTTAAAGCAACTGGAGATGCTTCAAATAGCATATTGTAGGACATGTAAAACTCGTTTTTGAAAATGTAGTGGAAGTATCTGTAGAAGTAAAAGGTAAATTTTAGGCATATAGAGAGTTTGATTTCTATAAGGATGGCGTAACTTGAAAAATTTTAAAAATTCTATTGAATATCTTTAAAAATTTTTTTTAATGCTATTGAGTACCCTATCCAATGTTACTTGTCCTGCCAACCCACTAATATGAACTCAATTAAATGAATGAACTTTTCACTTTGCTCAACTTGTTGCACTTGAGATTCCAGTATTTGCAAAAGGAATTGCCAGGAACTACCATCTAACAGCCATTTATAACAAAGAACTTCAGCCTAAATAATTACTGAAGAGCCAACTCCAGGTTGATTGGCAGGGCTATAGATAAGCTTCTTAGGGAATTTGAAATGCTTATCAAATAGTCATCTAAAAATACCCTGGCAGAGAAGGAACAAATACTGTGTGACTGGTTCAAGTTGTTTTAGCTAGGTAAACTTACTTGTGAGGTTAGGGCTTCTCTTAGAGAGGCTCTGATGTGTACAGGTGTCCTATAAGATGCCACCTGAGAAACAGTTGTGTAGTTTTGCAGCTTCCCTTTTTCTTTAACAAGGTCATGTGAAAACAAGACCCTTGTTTCCCAAGGATTTTACTTCATTCTTCATTTGAATAGTATTCTTTAATTTTGAAAATCACAGTCATCTCTGTAGCAGCCACTTACTATGTTGGCAGTGGAAGCTTTTGCCAGTGCAGGTAATACATATAGCAGAGGATCTAATAAGGTGTATTTTGTCTGGTTTTTTTTTATGTATTCTTAGAAATGAATAAAATGAGAGGTGTAGTTATTTTTGAAACAATAGTTTTTCCAAATGATAAATTATATCATGTTAAATTTCTTGAAAGATGAAAGGCACTAGGATAATTCCTTTAAGTTTGGAGGTTGATTGTGAGAGTCTTGAAGGTGGTGGTTAGTGAAGAGCATGCCGCTAGTCACACAGCTGAGGTTCTGTCCCTCTTTCGTAGAATGTTATTCGGTGTGCAGCTTGCAGGCATGTGCTCAGCTGTCCCCAGTCTCATCTGCTAAGTTTGGAAGATACCTTCCCTATAGGATCATTGTGGTCACTAAGGTGAATACATGTGGCACACTTAGGACATTAGTGCCTGCCACATAGTCACTGAATTGTAGCACAGAGCCTTTCTGCAGTTGGTCTTTGCCTGGGCAACCTGGTTTAATCCTAGGTAAAATGAGGCTAAAATTGTCTACTCTTGATTTTTTCCCGTATTTAATTTGCCATCTTTATTCAAAAACTGTGATGTCACATTTTGATATATGCAATGTTTCATAGACCTAATTTCTGTCAGTGTATTTTATTAAATGTGATTTTTCCTTAATAGGTATACTAGCACATTGTTCCTTTGGTGCAAATATGTTTATAAAGAATGCAATTTAACATATGCCAAAAAGCCCTTTAGCTCTTAAGTAAACTTGAGAGCACGTAAGTAACTAAATAATGATCTAGTACCAAAAGCTTTATCATTAATAACACAAGGGAACTGCACCATGGAAATTTCATAGATGCATACAGCGTACTCTGAACTAGTCGTCCCCCCTTGTACTACCTCAGGCCTCTCCCCTACCCCTTTATAAACGGTGTTTGCTGTAGTTCATACTATCTTCATAATATACATGCAGTAATCTTCAGATCTCCTTATCTCCCACTTCCTGCTCCTGTCCTCCTCCTCCCTCCTCCTGCCTTATACTCCTCATAGCACCTTTGCATTTCTGTCCCATTTTCATTTTTCTTACTGCCATCTTAGACCTAGATTCCTAGTATGGGTGAAAACATGGTGCTTGGCTTTTTGAGCTTTGCATATTTCATACAAATGATGGTCTCCAGTTGCATCCATTTTCCTGCAAACAACATAATTTCCTTCTTTATGGCTGAATAATACTCCACTAAGTTTATATACTATGTTTTTTTAATCCATTGATTTGTTGTTGTATACCTGGACTGAGTCCACAGCTTGATTATTATACATAGTGCTCAGTGAACATAATTGTGCAGGTGTCTCTTGTACATTGATTTACACTCCTTCAGATGTATGCCCAAGAGTGGTACAGCTGGATTAAGGTAGGTCTGCTTTTAGTTTTTTAATGAACCTCCACACTGGTTTCCATAGTGGTTGAACTAGTTTTTGTTCCCACTAACAGTGTATGAGTGATCCTTTTTCCTCACATCCTCACCAGCATTTGTTTGTTTTTCTTGCTGATTGCCAGTCTGACTGGGGTGAGATGGAATTTTAGTGTACTTTTTTCATAATTCTTATTTAATGTATTTATTTATCTTTTGGTGGCATTGGGGTTTGTACTCAGGACCTTGTACTTGGTAGGCATGCACTCTACCCCTTGAGTTATACCTCCAACCTTAGTGTACTTTTGATTTGCATTGCCTTTTTGGCTAAGGATGTCAAAGATTTCTTTGCGTATTTGTTAGCCATTTATATTTCTTCTTCTGAAAACTGTTCAATTCGTCAATTTAGTAATTGGATTATTTCTTCTTTTGCTGTTTAGTTTTTTGAGCTCTTAGTATACCCTAGATACTAATCCTTTATCTGTTGAATAGCTGGTGAAGATTTTCTCCCATTCTCTGGGTTCTTTCTTGATTCTGGTAACTGTTTCTTTTGATGTGCAGAAACTTTTTAATTTTATGCAATGCCTTTTGTCAATTCTTGCTCTTATTTCCTGGGCAATTATAGTCCTGTCAGAAAATACTTACTTTGTCAGAGTTTTCCCTGTTTTTTTCCTGTAGTAATTTCGAAATTTTAGGTCTTATGTTAAAATCTTTGAACCATTTTGAATTGATTTTTGTACAGGATGAGAGAAGCATATAGTTTCTGTTTTTTGCCTGTAGATAACCAATTTTCTCAGCTCCATTTGTTGAAAGGGCTGTCTTTTCTCCAGTGTGTATTTCTGGCTCCTTTGTCAAAAAGGATCTATCAGATGGATAGAGCTGTGTGTATTTATTTCTGGGTTTTCTGTTCTGTTCCATTTGTCTTCGTGTCTGTTTTTGTGCCAGTGCCATGCTGTTTTTGTTAGTCTGGCTCTGTAGTATAATGTGAAGTCTCATATTGTGATACCTCCATTGTTGCTCTTTTCATTCAGGATTACTTTTGCAATTTGGGATCTTTTATGAATTGCAGGATTAATTTTTCTATTTCTGTGAAAAATGACATTGAAATTTTGATGGGCATTGCATTCAATCTGTACATTGCTTTTGGTTGTATTGCTATTTTCACACTAGTAATTCTCCCGACTCATAAACATGGGAGATCTTTCCATTTTGTGTGTTCTTCAATTTCTTTCTTCAAGGTATTATAGTTTTTCATTGTAGAGGTCTTTCACCTCCTTGGTTAAGTTTATACTTTGGCATTTTGTCTTTTTGGATTTGTTTTTGTTTTTTTGTGTTGTTTTGGTTTTTGTTGTTTTTTATTTTTGTTTTTTGAGCTACTGTGAATGGAGCTGTTTTCTATTTTTTGGTGGGACTCATTACTTCACATTTGCAGAGTTGGTGCTCTTCCGCTTGAGCCACATCTCCATTTTCCTGTTTCTTCCTCAGCTTGTTCATGATTGGTATATAGAAAAACTATTGCTTTTGAATCTGTTTTCTGCTGTGCTTCTAAAAGTGCTCATCAGATCTAGGAGTTTTTTGGTGGAATCTTGGGTTCTTTTAAGTATAGGATTGTGTCATCTCCAAATAGGAATAATCGTACTTCTTCCATCCTCATCTGAATCTCTTCTTTCTCTTGCCTTATATTGCTCTGACTAGGAATTTCAGTACTATATCGAATAAGGATGAGGAGCATGGACAGCCTTATCTCATTCTGATTTTAGAGGAAGGGATTTCAGTTTTTCCCTGCTTAGTTTGATGTTGGCTGTAGGTTTGTCATGTGGAGCTTTTATAATGTTGACATATATTCCTTCTACTCCTAGTTTCTTCAGAGTTTTTATCATAAAAGGAGGTTGAATTTTGTCAAAGGCTTTTTCTGCATCAGTTGAGGTGATCAAGTGATTATTGTGCTTTGTTTCTGCTTATATGCTGTATTACATTTATTGATTTGTTTATATTGAACCATCCTTGCATGTCTGCGATGAAACCAACTTGATCATGGT